AGTTCCCCAAACAACTTTTTATATTTTTTGTACCCCCCCCTTTTTAAACCCCCCCCCCCCCCCCGTTCCAAATAGACAAGTGAATCCAGATCTCTCCCTCTTACAGATTACTGTCCATCTCTCCTTATTTTTTTTTTTCTTTTTTAATTTATATTTAAAGAGACGGCTTCACACATCGCTATTTTATACTCAGCAGCCACCTGTTCAGGATAGAAATGTAAGCACTTCTAGATTTTAGCGGATTTCACTTGTATTAATTATGTCTTAACAATAGCAGAGGAAAGGTCTGAGTAATATAAGTTAGCACATGTGACGTTTTGAGTATCATTGTATCATGTATAACATCTCTATGCTCATAGAAGGTATTTTTTGCTTTTTTTTTAATTTACGATGGAAAACTCTTCACCAACAGACGATTAATTGTGAAGGTGAAAGGAGTGCTGAATATTCAGAAGGCCATTATGACTTATTATTATCCTTTATGTCATTTTAATTTAAGTTTTAATGTGGTTTATTGTATCTGGCTGTTGTTTTTTTTTTTTTTTAAAGCTTTTGTTGATCACTTTGTACAGCACTGGGAAAAGTGTTTGCCTCCTTACTGATTTCTCCTTTTTTTCATTATTGTTGTCCCACTTAAATTCCTCACATCAAACACAAATGTAATATCAAAGATAACCTAAATAAAGGTACAAAATGAATTTTCCAAGCAGTGATATCATTTTTATTTTTTAATTTGGGGTAAATAACCTTATCTAAACCCAATTGTCCCTATCCAAAAATGTAATTTTCCCCTTTTTATTTCCTTATTTATTTAAGTGCGACAAAGAGAGTAAAAAAAAAAATGGAGCAAGTCTCTAAGGGGGGAAATCCGTTACCACAGTGCTGTGAGAGAAAAAAAAAAATAAAAAATCTTCCTACATTCCTGTTTGAAATGCTCATGGTGCCTTCGCTGCTTTGAAGCTGTGCTATGTACGGAAACTGTGCAAAGAAGACCAAGTTTTGTATTCTGCCTTTTACAGTAATCTCTTCCACGCCTCTTCTGCTCGAGCAATTTAACGAGTTAGCAGTTTAAGGATATTTACCACTATGTAGAACCTCTCGCCTTACGATTGCAACGAGAACGTTTCCGACCGCAACAGAAGATGAAAGAATCGCAACAAAGATTCTGTGATTATTTTTTTATTTTTTACTTTTCTCTCTGACATGTTATGTAGCTCATATCGTCGGCGCGGCACAAGCTTTGATTAGTACGTGATCGGTTTGTCGGGGCATTAAATTGATTAATGTTACTGCTCAACAGTCTGACAATCACATTCCTTTGGCTCCTCTAAAAAGCAGGGGGCTTGACCAAAATATTTTATAAAGAGTGAATTAATGTGACTTTTTTTTTGTAATACAGTGGTTTTATTGTGCTGTATTTTTTTTGTTACAATCTCGTCCTTTTTTTTGATGTTTTTTACGCTTTTCTTTTTCAATTTTTAACCAGGCACTTGTTTGTGTAGCGCCAAGCCTATGCAACACACACATCTGTACTTGTATCTTATTCTGTATCTCGGTGTCATAAACGTGGATGGATGTTTGTAACATTGTACCATGGACTGACTCAACTGCAACAATAAAGACATTGAGGTATTCCAGTTGAAGTCTCTTGTCATGTCTCCCATGTGTACACGTCTTCCACATTAAGTATTCAAGCTTCTCGTTTGTTTCATAGTCGCTATTTTTTTTCCCTTTGGTTTACCTGTAAGCTGTTTTTACAGTGTAAATACCAAGACTGTGAAATATTCCGTGGATGAAATGGATTGTAAAGCCAGGATTCCTTCACAGTCAGGAAAAGTCTGGAATTTTCTTTGTCCTTTCCAGGTATAGACAAACAGAATACAACATTTTCCATTTCTTAAATTTTCTTCTCTCTCTCTTCTTTCCTCCTGCCCTCTTTTTGCCATTTATTCCTAGTTCCTCTTTGTTGTATCTTTTCTTGTCTTCTCTTTCCTGACATTTTTCAAATTTTTATGTTCAGTTCTTCCTCTGTTTGTCCTTCCCTTCCTTGAGTTTTCTTTCCTTTATTTCCTTCTTCCTTCCTTTCTTTGGTCCCATCTTCTGTCTTTTATTTTTTGATTGTGCCTTCCTTCTTCCGTTGTGACCTGCTTCCTTTTTTCCCATCCAGCCACTCGTGTAAAACCTTTCCTTTCCTAATTCCTTCTTTGTGAATTTCCTTTTCTTCTTTGTGCTCCATACGCCCTACATTGTTTCCTTTATATATCTAACCTCCCTTCCATCCATGTTTACTTCCTACCTTTCAGTCTCTGTTTCCATCTTTATAAAGTGGAATTAATATCTGTTTTGATACTTGTGTTTTTTCTGAAAGCCTGTTTCTGTGATGGAGGGGGATATCTTCCTTTAAGGCACCATTTTATTATTTTCAAAGTCATCCCAAAATTACATCAGAACAGTCAATATTTGTCATTGCTCAATGCATCAATATCCATGATAAAAATAAGGTATTTAAAATGATGGCTAAGTGTTAAATATGACGATGCTTATTATAATTTGAGAAGTAATTTTGAACTATACAATTTGAACTAATTTTGAAATGTTTGACGTGCATTACGTAATCATTTTATTTACCAAAATGGTACTCTAGTTGCAGCTACTTGGTTAGCTAGCCAGCTTACTCAACATAGTTAAAGGTAAATACATTATTTTATTTATTCACTGACTGCATCATTAACTTCATTTTACACTATTAAAACAAGATTAATGTAAGTGGAATTTTTAATTGTCATATTCTGTTAGCTTGGTGTATTGAAAACTGAAGTCCCTTGCTAGCTAGCCTAGATTTTTCGTGTGGTGTCAGAATGTTTGTCATTTATTAAAAAAATATGAGATTTTTTTTTTTCACTTTTTAATTAAATTCTATATTTGTATCACACAAATATATGGGTTAGAGGACTATGGCAAATGATACACGTTTTACGTGTGTGGGGTCGGTTGGACCCCATTTTCACATAAGAGGAGTCGGATTACAAAGATCCTCTGTCCAATCTATCTGTATTATCTATATTATCTCTTCTGTCTTATTTTGCTACAACTCTCCACCCTCCCTTCCTCCTCCTTTTGCCCCCCAGTGCAATTCATGACCAGCATGTGAAGGCTGTATTTAGGTCCAGGTACGTCTCATCTGACTTTTGTCTCCAACAATAGAAGGGACCGTCCCAACCAGTCATTGCAAAGACATGCGGTCACGAGACCCCCGGGGCTGTATTAAGTTGTGCCGTTTGGTTGGAAGAGAGGATGACTGAGTTTGTATTTGGCTGGATGTAGAAGAGGAAGAACAACACTTGCCCTAAATCCCATCGCTTCTTCAGCGTAAGAGGTAAGAGTGGCCTTGACCTCAGGGACAACTAAATGAACATGACTGTAAAAGAGAACTAAAAGATAGCTCTCGGCGTGGTTTTAAACACGAAAGACATTGATGTAATATCTGATGTTGGCGTGACGTACCAAGTGATTTTGCACGCAGTATTAAAAAGCCAGAAATGGAGCTATAACTAGATCCGACGTGGCCTAAGTTGGCTCTGGTGGGGATTTTCTTCCTGCTTTTTGTTCCGAGTGCTGCATATGTGGGTGAAGAAGGTGCTAAGCTCGCCCCTGAGACCGCTGTGTTGGTGGCATACTTTGCAGGCTTTGACTTAATGCTCCTTAATGCTGAAAGCAGCACCAGCAACATTCCTGCCACTGTCAGACGGTGTGCTGTTCCACGGTTTCAGCCAAACGCCAACTGACCGTGTTCATTGAACCAAATGCGGATTCAGTACCAAGGGTCTCCGGGACTTCCGTGCGTTCCACTCTGATGTATTTAAAGCATCTTCTGTTTTTTTCCCGTATCCCACTGCTTTTTCCCAATTCCTCCGACCTTTGACTTCCCCCGCTCTAATCTCTACTGGCCCCTATCAAATACCACAGTGTTTGACTTTGAGAACCTAAATGGTGAGAAATACCAAGTCTCAAGAAGAAATGCCCAATTAGATTCAAATGTGCATTTAGACCTTCAACGTTCAAACTTTTACAGTATTGGAAGAAATCTGGCTCGTTTCAATGTCAAAATCAGCTTCTCCTCAGCTCTATTGTTGTAAAAAATGTCCCCTCTACCCATTACTGGCAGCTGGCTGTCAAACCTGCAGCAACATAAATAGCCCGCTGAATGTTTGGACCTGGCCCACTGATTTACTGGAGTACAGGCGAGGTGAGCCATTGTCTGGAGGAGCTGCTCCGCACCTGTTCAAGAGCTCGTCCTATTATTCTTAAAAATAGACCCTCGCTCACCCCTTCGCTCTTCAGCCATTCTGACATTGGATTTTATGATCGTGTGATTTATAAGCCTGTGGAAAAAAAAAAAAAATAGAAAAAAAACCTCTGAAGGAAGTGTTGTGTGCAATCAAATCTTGACATCTAATCCAATGACGGAGCACGCTGATGCAGTCTGCTCCTGTTCACCTTGATCTCCAGCAGCCAGAGGTCACTGCTATGCTTGGATCAATGTCTGAAGCGCCTCTGCTAAAAAGGAACATAGGCTGTATATAAAACGGAGTGGTTAGAGGTAGGACAAGGTGGGAGTCGTAAAAAGCACATTGATTTATAAAGTTCATTTTCTTTTACCTTTCAGGACTTCGCGACCTCTGGTCATTGTTAAATCTTAGTCCGTATTCACAATTGGACACGAATTATGACCGACTTGATTTGTTGATTTGTCGGTCACTTTACTGTAATTGTAGCCCGACTATTTCACCAGCTAACGTTAGCTTGTTTTAGTTATGATATAAAGAGAAGAATGAGGAAAAAAGTGTACAATATTATGCATGCTAGGCAAAAAAAAGCAAAAAATGTTTTGTGAAAAAATAGTTTATTCAATAGCAGGGAACTGTTCACCTTTTCCTCTATAATCAATATTATACAGAGTGAACTTGTACTCATTTTGGCACTTTTAAAGCCTCAAAATTCTTTGTTTTGCTAAATTGTGATGGGGGGGGGGGAAGGGATGCATCCATGTTTTCCAAATCTACGGAAGTCCTCTGCATCCAAATAAAAAACCAGCACGACCAATTCATTAAAAAAAAAAAAAAAAAGATCTTAGTAAATTTAGAAGTTGAAACGTCTTCACCTACATTCAAATCTAGCATTCCAGGCTGGTTGGAGTTGAGGGAAGACAATCCTGTAAGGTGCTGCAAAAAACTTTAAGCTGGGTGGAGCTTCACCTTCAGAATATGGAGGCAACAAAATAAAATTACTATTGTCAACTTTTATTGTTCTTGAGCTATTTTGTAAAGAAGAGAAAAACTTTAATCTCTACTTGTAATGATTTAAACCACAAGTCTAATCATAAATATGCACTTTCTGTTCGATTTAATGACGGGAAATCTGAAAACTGGGTGCATCCCTTCCAACAAACTGCTTGAAAGCTGCTGTCTCTGCTACCTGATCAACTAGTGTGAGGATTAAAAAAAAAAAAGCACATCACGTCTTCAGATGCGTCAGTGGATCATTAAAAAATTCATGCGTTCCCTGCAGTTTGAGCGCCACTCAGGCCTCCGTCGGCTGCCTGCAGCCTTGATCAGCGCCAAGAGGAAATGACTGCGGATTAGGCCTGGAGCTGTTTAACACCCTGGGCCTCAGCCTGCAGAATGATTTCTCCCTCCACTACTGTTCCAACTTCACAGCCCTACCGCCAAGATATTTTCTCTCTCTCTCTCTCTCCCTCTCTCTTTATTTTTTGTTGTTTGCACAAATGATAAAAGGCTCTGAATGCTGGGGAAGAAAGGAACCATCTGTCAAGGGCTTGTTGTAACATTAGAGTGATTAAAAACAGGGAACCAGGTAAATAATCGCAGCAGGGAAACATCTGAGAAATGAGTTTGTTGTTGTAACTAATCAGATTCATGGAAAACGTAAGCCATTTAAAAAATTTTTTTTTTAAATGTGATAAATGTGAGCAGTTTCTATGAACACAAGGCGTTTGCACATCCTTAAAAAGTCTTGAATCAATGCATCTAAAATGATGGCCTTGAAATGTCTTAAATTCAATCAAAAACATGCAAGTTGGCCTTAAATTTTGTTATGACAGGACTATTTCATCTTGTATTTTCTATGTACATTTTTTTTCTCATGGGACGTTTTCTGTCAGGCAAACATTTGAGTCATACTCAGACGTCATCTGTGACTCGAGGTGGTTGAGGCTACTGCTAACTAGCTGCTAACATACCCTTGCTAGCTAGCTAGCTAGCTACGTATCTTTTTGCGTTTTTATCATCAGTTTTCTGGACGGACGTTCGTCTTTACCACCGGCTCACCTCTCTTGCTAAACCGTACGATGCTACGTTTAATCTGCGCAGTAACATTTTGGCTTTACGAAATATGCAAATTCTTTGGTACAGTTTTTGTCGTCTTAAAAAAAAGTTTTAAATTTGAGTTGGTGAAACCCTGTAATATAATTGTTTGTTTTTCTTCGGTTTGATTAAAGAAACTATCAGCTAAAATGTCTGAGGAAGCAGTGGAGGACGTCGTCGAAGAAGAAGTTGTGGAGGAAGAAGTAATTGAAGAAGTTCTAGTGGAGGAGGTGGGGTAAGTAAAATCCACTTCTAAAGCTATTTATCACAATAAAAAAAATCAGATACTCTGATCATTTCAAATCTTTACCTAATTTCTTTTCAGGGAGGAAGGTAAGTGACGACTTCTGAAGTGGTTTGACGCTTCCTTTTTTTAAAAAAAAAAAAAAAAAAAAGAACTCGTCACTTCTAGCCTCCATTCTTAGACGCGGCTGACCTGATTATGTCAGCTCAGGTAGAAGACGAAGCAACGGGAAGGCGAAGGCTTCACGTGTGCAGCCTCTTTGTTGGAGTTACATGCCTGCTGTCAGCCAGGAAAAGCAGACAGCAGGATTCGGAAAGCTAACACCTCGCCTGTCAAGCGCAGTGATGGCTGCATGCTTTTAAAGTGTGGAAAATTAACAACTAATTTATTTTAAGCGGGTTTTTTTTTTTTCGCACATCTTTCCAAACAAATGTGCGTGTACTTTTTCCAAGTCTGTCCTGCAGCTACACGTCAGCACAGAGCTGCTTTACCGTCTGAGGCTACAGACGGCTCAGTCGGTGATCTAAGCTCATCCCTCCGTGTTTGTACCTTTGCTCACGATAAATGTCCAGCACTGCGTTTTTGTTTTTTTGTTTGTTTTTTTATGCATCCCAAGAGACAGTGATATGACAGTGTGCAGAGTGACCAGATTCCTGCTGGGAGCTGTTTGCCGAGTCCCATTGATCCACTAATCCATATTTGGTTCACTCAGTCATAAAGGCTCAAAGAAAAGAGGGGGGGGAAAAAAGGCTCTTTTTTTTTTTTTGTCTGTGAACACAGTCTTTTTATTCTGCTCTGTGCTTACCCCCTCGGGTCGTATAATCTCAGCAAAGTGTGTTTGCATGTGGGTGTTGCTGAAGTCTTTTGTCATGTCTGCAATAACAGAGCTTGACTGTTTTTTTTTCTTTCTGTTTTTATTCTTGTTTTCAGAAGAAGCTCCACCTGGAGTAGAAGGTAATTCTCGTCCTTTAAATACTTTATGGTTTCGTCTCTCTTTTTTACAAACCGTAATAACATTTACGACGACGACCGCTTAATTTGATATTATAATGGCCTAATGTATGGCATTCTGCCGTTTGCAAATAACGCAAACAGAGCTGACTGAGTGAAATCTGTGAAAAGCAGCCTCCACCTGCAGATTACTGTAAACGATGTTGTCTTTTCATAGCTGCTCATTCGTTTTAGTCCCATTAGCCGTTTTGAGTCCAGTCATCAGTAATCACTGCTTTGTTTGGCTGCTCAGCCGGTGCCTGCAGAGTTAGGATCAGATGAATTTACTCTAAATGAGATATCCATTTGTTTGTGTCGCTGAATCCACTTAAGAGACATTTGCCGTCTATGTGCAGGAATAACTTTAAGACCAGGTTCATTTATTTCCACTTTTCACATCTTGAGTGGAATCAGAGTAGTTATTATATAAAATGTCAACTTTTTTTTATATCTAATGTTTGTGTTGCTTCTTTTTTCCTCAGAGCCCCCTGTCTCCACTACTGAAGGTAAAACAAAAAATCCTCTTTTTACTTATTTGTGTTTTACCATGAACTCCACACAGAGCCAGCCAAAACTATAAGACCTCCCCACCACAGGGGGCCCCCAAGAGCACTTGAATTTCTACACAAATAATCAAAATGTTTCATTTGTAGTCTATTATAATAAGAATGAACTGATTTTTAAAATCACTTTGAGATTTTCTGGATTACAAATTTTTAAAAAATCATGTGATCTGATTTATGTGCCGGTTTTAAAAACAATAGGCTAATATCTGAGCTGTTTACAAACAAATCTAGATAAATCCTTCCATCCATTCATGTCAACTTAGCCACGCAAACAATACACAAACTGTGGACGGTCAAGCAAAATGTAAATGGGCCCCCCAAAATGGAAATATCCTCTGGGCCCCATAAAACCTTTGGCCGGCCCTGACTACAGATTAAAAGTTTTCTTGCTGGGAGTTTAATCAGTCTAAAAACCTCAAATATTGTTAAAAAGTTCCAACCAACATGTCCTGAAATGTATAATAAGGCACGAAAAAGAAACCAAGAAACCAAATTACATAAAATTCATGTACAGAGAGTGATCAGAGATCTGTATAGGCACTACAAATACATTAACATTTTTATCTGGATGTTCTGTATCCTAGATTTGTTTTCTGCCTTTCACCTCAATTTTTGTGCGTTTGCAAGAAACTTTAAATGAGTTTAGAGAATCTGTGCAGATTATGACAGGTCCCCCCCCCCCCCAACTAATAATGTTTATTACTGCAGTATATTTGTGTGCTCCTGCAAAAACAAAGATGCATTTCTCTGTTATTAAAACCATTTGTCAAGAAAACTGTCCCATTCCATGTTTAATCTTAAAAAAAATCCACTCTGCTTCCATAATTCCAAAATTATTCTTATTACACCGACTCAATGTTGTGATGTTTACCCCAATATAATTAAACAATCAAAGTCGTGAAAAAGGAACTGAAATCTTTAAAGTGAGAAAAACATTTATTTATTAACTTTTGTGTTTATTCATTCTGCGCCGGTTGAGGCTACAGTCTTTAAGCAGCAGGACCATCTGGAGCAATTCATCAACGCTGGTAAAGGTCAGGAACATAAACAAGGCAACTTTTAAACATCCGAGAGGACGAAACCCCTTACAAAGGGGTGGCAGTGTCATGATCTGGGCCTGTTTTCCTGCATCTAGCTTCCTTTATCCTTATATGAAACTTGAATTTAATATCTTGTTATACACGCTCTTGTTTTCTTGAATGTAGAAATCATTTTCTAAGCGACCTGACTTGAGCTGAGCCACGTTTCTTGATGATGTGTTTTCCATTTCATGCTGTCTCCGACGATTACGTTACAAAGAGCCTGCAGAAGAAGGTACTTCTTCTTCTAAATTGTGTTGTGCAGACTTGCAATGTTTTTTTTTGTTTTTTTTTCTGTTGTGCAGTTTGGACAAAAAGACATTAAGAGCTGAGCTGTCTGTTGATATCTGAAATACTAATTTTCCAATCTTCTGTATGTTGTGCTATGGAAGGATTTACTCGTAAATGCAAATAGCTTGTTATTTTCCCCTCTTGGCTTCAGATTTATTCTGATAGCACACTTTAATAGAAGAGCTGCCTTCCTTTATCCAAAAGATATGATTTTTGTGCCTTGAAACCCTGGTGTGACATGGCATACAGAATGAGTTCAGGCTTTCCATTTCACCCTCTGACATGCAAGAAAGGTTTTCACATTGGAATATATAAAGTAAATATCAGACCTCGGTAATGCGGGGTTTGGAAGTAATAAAAGGAAATCCGTTTATATTCTGCCTGTTGATGCTCTAACATTTCCCTCTGTCCTGTCTTGTTAGAGGCTCCAGCTGCGGATGAAGGTGTGTTTACAATATTATAAACTCTCAAAAACACGATGTCAAATGAACTGGTTTTAACAGTCCACTCTTAATGGTGGATGTTCTGGGATCTACTGTTTAACTTTATGGGTGGAAAATATATTTGCTGACACTGATAGTGTTTTATGACTGAGATTTGTACAATTGAGTAGATTAATAAGAACTTTTAATAATGTCACAAATTATTTTTACCTAAACGAAAAAAAAATATGGCTTTAAATATAAACTTATATACTTTATATATAAATATACTTTATATTTTCTAGTAAAGAGTGCAAAAGTATTTCTACCAATTTTTACTTTAACAGAAATAACTCTTGGAGACCAGTTCTGTGTATAGTCACATAAACATATAAATATAAGCATAATCTTTGGTTAATATTGGTTAACTTTTACTTTTACTTTCCCACATTGGAGTATAAAAACCTGTGACATGCTTGTTTGCATAGTGGTGATAGTGTCATGATTGGGGCCATGATGGCTTACATGTTGCACTTATTATAATTAGAACTGTAATTTAAAAAAAAAAAATCATGCGGAAACTTTGAAGAAAATGTCAGATGTCAGTCATTGATGAATGCAAACACCAATAATCCCTTTGTCTTTTGCTTTTTGACACACTTACTTTTCCTCTGTTCTTTCCTTTAGAGCATCCAGTTGCAGATGAAGGTATGAAGTACGACCGATGAATTCCTCATTACGAAACTGCAAATTCACACTGTCAAAAAAAAAAAAAAAACACAAATTAATTAAAAAGTGCTGGATACACTGCTGCGCTTTATTAAATTAATTGAATATACTATAAGGGCTGGATTGAGTTTTGCTAGCAAAACTCAGTCATGATCGCTGAGCAGCGTTTTATATGAAGCAAGAGATTAGAAAGAAAAGGAAAAATGATGCATTAGAACTAGATAAATTAACCATTTTTACCCATTTATATTATTTATAACCCAATTTATTTTGCGTATTATTTAGAGTATTATTGACTCTAAATAATGAGTACTATCAAAGAATAACGTATTAGCATGTTATGCTAACGTATAAACAGCATTTAATTCGCAGTAAATCTGTTAAAAAAATTGTAACAAACATATACTTTTTTCTTTTCCTGTTATAACAGATGAATCCAAGCCCAAACCAAAGTAAGTTTTTACCACCTTCCTAAATCTAATCGGTGTACAAATTATTATTATTATTATTATTATAACAGATGTGTTCCTTCGCAGGGCATTCGCTCCGCCGATCGCCGTTCCTAAGATACCAGAGGGGGAAAAAGTTGACTTTGACGTGAGTCAAGCTGCTTTAGGTTGGAAAAAAATAAGCATCTGGTGAATGGTACTGATGTTTAAAGCTACCCAAGTGTCAATGAGTGGACGTTTTGAGTGGAGGCCCATTTGAGTGTGTGTGTGTGACCTCCTTGTAGGACATCCACAGGAAGCGTCAGGAGAAAGATCTGTCTGAGCTGCAGTCTCTGATCGAGGCCCACTTTATTCAGAGAAAGAAGGACGAGGAGGAGCTCATCGCTCTTGTTAACAGGATTGTAAGTCTTCCATGAAAGCACGCACCACTGCCAAAGTGATGTACCACCCAGCAAACAATTGCGTTTTGTTTGTACGCGCGCGTGTGTGTGTGGGTGTGGGTGCGGATGATTAGGAGAAGCGTCGTGCTGAGAGGGCTGAACAGCAGAGAATCCGTGCCGAGCAGGAGAAAGAGAGGCAGAATCGTTTGGTTGTGAGTACCTTTTGAAGCTGCAGTTAAAGTGATTTTTGTAAACAGGAGAGGAATCTCAAATTGGTCCAAAGTTACTCAAGGAAAGTTCTGTACGGCACCAAAGAAAACTTAGCGTTCACACCAGCTCTAATCTGCAGGAGAAAATTAATTATTAGAGACGAGTCTGAATAATCAGGTGGCTGGTAAAAGAAAATTCCTCTTTCTCTTGTATTACAAAATAAATAACTAAATAAAAGCTGTGTATTTTTCCTTGGATTGGTCTGTATCATAAGTTGTCAATGAAATGCATTGAAGTTTGTGGTTGCAACATAAAAAGGGTGGAAAAGTTCAAGCTCAAAAAGCCTGAACATATTTGCTAGGAAAAATATTAGCATATTATTTCACGCTTTTAATTTAAATGACTTCATGTTTTCTCAAACTGAACAATGTTTCTGCCTGTTGATGTTTTGTGTGTGAAATGCCCAATTTTTGGCTACTGTCTCTTTAAGACTAGCTTGCTCTTGTCAAATGTGCCACAGCACAGGTGATTCTTGTTATGTGGTCAAGGATTTGTTTAACACATTGAGAGAAGGAAAACTGACCAAGAAAAAAATAAAAAATATATATAAGCATTTGTTATTGTTGCTTAGTTTTTTTTGTTTTTCCTGGGCTTTTTTGTATGAAAAAAGCAGGTTTGGAGTGCAGTCAACGGGTGTAAAGATGGTGGATTTTTGCACTATTTGCTTCACAGGAAGAAAAAGAGAGGAAGGAACAAGAGGAGGCTCGTAAGAAGCAAGACGAGGACGCCAAGAAGAAAAAGGCCCTGACTAACATGACTCAACAATATGGTGGCCAGCAAAGGGTCAGTTACCGTTCAGGATTTTTTGTTTTTTATCTAATAATTTAAAAAAAACCCATCAAAGACAACATCCTGCACCTTTTTTTGATTTTGCAGCAAGATGGAAGGAAGGGAGCAAAGAAGCAAACAGAGAGGGAAAAGAAGAGAAAGATCCTGGCAGAGCGGAGGAAACCGCTCAACATCGACCATCTGAACGAGGACAAGCTGAAGTGAGTCCGAGGCAGGACATCATTAATCAAAAGCCATCTGTCGTGTGAGTTTGTAGCAGGTTTTGGTTTTCAGCCGCTGATTTTTCTGCCTTATGTTTAAAAGGGAGAAGGCCGGTGAGCTGTGGCAGTGGCTGATGATGCTGGAAGCGGAGAAATTCGACTACACTGAGAAGCTCAAGAGACAGAAATATGACGTGAGTACTGACCCGACAACCTAAAGTAAATAACACATTATGTTTAACTTTATTTATAAATAATCGGTGCACAATTAGCTAGCATCAGAGAAGTAGATGCGTTTGATTAAACCTTTGCTGTCTGCAAAGATTATTTGCTAAATAATCAATTACATACAGAGAAATGAATATATATTTTCCATCTGCGGGGTCTTTATTGTCCCACAGATGGAAGTACAGGTAATATTTCATATTTTTATATAAGCAACTTTTGGTTTTGACATGATCTGGAAATTGTTAGCTCTTCTGCAGTTGTGACAAAATCAACATATACTACAAATTTTTTCCAGTAATTCACATTACGCTTTTTCTTTGTGGTGTTAACATTTTTCCAGCAAATTTACTTGACTCTAGTTTAAATGCCTACACTAGACTTTCTGAGCCAAGGTAAATACTCTTTTTCATGATTAATAAGCTTGTCCATGAAATTAGCTTTAGTGCTAATTATGCTAACGGTATTAAACCCGAAAATCTCGAAAATCAGCAAAATGAACTGAATACTTCACGAGAACTGCAAGGTTCCTGTGTGAATGTTTCTGGTTATAATTAAGGTAACACTTCTGAGAATACACCAGAGGTCTAAGTTACCGAGTGTTGGAATTGGGCCTTGAAACGGTTGTGAAAAGGTTGTTTGTCATTTAGATAAGTGGAGTGGATATGCAATAATGTTAGCATGAGCATAATTACCTAAATATTGATATTGTTGAGGAACACAAAAGCATAATTTCTTTTTTTTTGGCCAAGCGGTGTATTTAAATCACTCTTAATGAAAATTCCTATTTTCCAAATACATATCTTAACAATATCAGCATTGCTGACTAGATCTTTAAAGATATACTTTATGCAAATATGTTAGTTGACATTTAACAAGTCACTTGCTTTTAGTGTGTTTCTTGTTCACCTTTTTATATCTTGAAGGCATGCTGTCTCTCTCGTTCGCTTTGAGCTGAAATTATTTTGTCAGACGGCGCTTCATTCCTCAGCTGAAGCATCATTTTGACAGCCAGTGATGATAAACATTTAATTTCTGAGATCTTGTTGCCTTTTTCTCTCTGATTTTTCTTGATGATCGAGTTCAGTCAGGAATTATTTAGACGTCCATCAGTGAAACAAACAGCGTCTCAGTTCTTCTTCAGCACCACCAGATTCCCTCTGGCATTCAGTGTGACTTTAACTAGTCCGTTTGTCCTTCACAACAGATCAACTTGCTCCTGAATCGGGTTCAGGCCACCCAGAGGTAAGCTGTAGCCGTCTGTAAACTCACACACTCGTCTCTTGAAAAAACTAATTCTACGGGAGCATGTTTTTTTTTTAATAGACTTAAAACTTCAAAAAATAAAAACAAAAGTTAAGGTTTTCTGTTTAGAACAGTCATTGTCTGCCATGTAGTACATCAGTAAAATAGAGCCAGTCTGCATGGACTAGAAATATTGGGGTTTTTTCATGCTAGATTTAAAATGCTAAATTTGAATCATTTATTAGGGGGGAAAGCTGTTCCAAACTAACAATCTGTAAAGTTTGCCTTTATTCATTTTTATCCACGTGTTTGACAACTAAATTAATATATTAACTAACGTTTTGTTTTTCTTTCATGTAATGTGAATTAATCCCTGAGTGTCCAATGCTAACTGTGATGCTAATTAGAATAGATGTGCTAACATTTCTGTCTAACTTGCAGCGTCAAAGGAAGAGGCAAGGCCAAGGGCAGGGTGAGATAGACGGCCCCAACCAGACAAGACGCCTGAGCAGGAGTTTGCGTCGCAGCAAAACACAAGTTCACAGAAATAAAGCACGATTTCTGGGTTTAAGAGGATAGTGTGTTTTGTTGTATTTCTTAAAAATCCTGAAATAAAACTAGATTTTAATTTCAGCAACTGAATATATGTTAAATGTTTTTTTTTTCAGTATGAGATTGTTGCTGCAATAAAATATTTATTTCAGGGTTTTTACCAAGAATTACCCAAGAATGTAAAGGTCTGATGAAACAGGTGAGATTTTACTCAAAATGTGCTTGGGAACACTTTCAGCTACGTTCACACAGGAAGTCTTGTTGACAAATTTGTAGGGTTTTTTAGGAGTTAGGGGGTGAAAATGAAATCAGGCCGTATATATTATTTTCGCATACATATATACTGTGTGTCATTTGACATCAAACTACACTGTGTGTCTTTTGACATCAAACTGCACTGTGTCTCATTTGACATCAAACTACACTGTTTGTCATTTGACATCAAACTACACTGTGTGTCATTTGACATCAAACTGCACTGTGTGTCATTTGACATCAAACTGCACTGTGTGTCATTTGACATCAAACTACACTGTGTGTCATTTGACATCAAACTACACCGTCTGTCATTTTACATCTTACTACACCGTTTGTCATTTGACATCAAACTACACCGTGTGTCATTTGACATCTTACTACACCGTTTGTCATTTGACATCAAACTACACTGTGTGTCATTTGACATCAAACTACACTGTGTGTCATTTGACATCAAACTGCACTGTGTGTCATTTGACATCAAACTGCACTGTGTGTCATTTGACATCAAACTACACTGTGTGTCATTTGACATCAAACTACACTGTGTGTCATTTGACATCAAACTACACTGTGTG